TTTCCAAACCAATTTTTATTAGGCCACTAGGGTTTTAGAGTTATTTTTGTACATGTTGCTAGATGCTTATTAGCAAAAATTGAGTTTTATTTTTTAAATTTGTTATCTTCTCTTCATATTGATAATAATTTTTTTCTAAGTGATCTAACCAAATTGGGAATTAAATTTCTACTTTCCGCATATGATTGAGCTTAAACGAATAGTAGTGCTCAATTTAACTGTTCTACTGAGTGATACCGAATGCTGATGTATTTATTCTCCCTTTGGCTTATACTTTTGATTAAAAGTTCATGTTGTTCTTATCGTCTATTATGTTGTGTGATTGATGCTCTTATACATTGTTGGTTGTGGAGGTTACACAGTATTGGATAGCTAGCTTATAGTTTTAGGCTTTTAGCTTTTATTCTGGTGGGTTCAAGAATTGGGGTTCTTTAGGCATCGTATTAATTTTAATGACATAATTGGAGGTGCATTGTGGAATGACTAATTATTTGGTAGATCTTAAGAATACTGAAGGGATTTTTCAGGAGTCATTTGTATTTGTCTAATTAGGGTGCGGAAGTATGACCTTCTGCTATGAATGATTATTGTACTTGAGTGGAAAACCAGTTTTCCTCCTAAAGTAAGCAAAAGAAAGATGTGGAAGCTGCTGATCTGGGATATTATTAGTTTTTCAGTATATTCTATTTATCTTCCAACAGTCGGTCTTCGTCAGTTGGTAAAACATGTTTCCCTTGTTGAGACATGCTTATACGCTGTTCTCGTATGGAGTGCTTATATGAAAGGGACTTTTGTTGAAACATGGAAGATTCAGTTCCAATTTCATAACTATGCCCAAGATCAAATTATTGTCTACAAACCAGTGGGTTCTAGATCATAAGAGGCTTAGTATAGGGAATAGATTTCAAAGCCTTGATTTTGTATAGGGCTTTGGAACTTTTCCTTCTTTCCTTCTTCCCTTTTGCCGAACTCTCTAGAATCTCTACTAGCACTTAGGGTTGTATAAGGGCGTCTTGACTTCATTAAAATGGATAAATCGGTTGCAGAAAGGTATAGAATAGACAGAGCTGTGTGCTAACAACATTTGTTTGTTACAAGTTGTTGCACGTGGATTATAAAATTGAATTTGCCCTTAGAATTTAAATTGCTCCAAATTGGCATAACTAATCATACTTGTCTTCAACTTGTGGGTCTAATATAATTGTTAAATGTTATGAATGTGTTAAAAGTTCAGTTTTACGTGGCTAGATGAAGATGTTAGTCATTGATGAGGATGGAAAAAAGGTAGACAAGTAGAAAATGTAAGGAATAACGTAACCAGCAGGATATCCTGGATTTTCAATTTTACTTATAGGTTTTGTTTTTTTTTTCTTTCTATAAATGGCTTTCATATTGTCCAACTTTTTCTCACAACGCATTTACAAACACACAACTTTATCTTTCCTTTTGTGGTGCGTGCCTTGTACCCAATGGTTTCAACCATATTATTCCTAATTTTCTTACTGTTGAGGATGTGTTGGCTCTGCTTGATTATCTCCATATTCCATATTTGTGCTATAATGTAGTTTGATATTTTATTTTCTTCCATTTATTTAACAAATGTTTGTCATAGTTCAGAAGCTGACATAGAAATAATGTAATTTGCATTCTGATATATGCCAACTTTCTCTCTCTTTTTCTGTCTCTATCTATTCCCCTTATTTATGTCAGCGTATATATTGTGTCTATATATCTGACCATAATGTCTTAATCTCTTTGGTGGTGATCTGGTTTTGATAGGGTTTTGATGAGTACATGAATTTAGTTCTGGATGAGGCCGAAGAAGTCAGCATCAAGAAAAACACCAGAAAGTCATTGGGTGATTCTCCTCGTCTTTCGCTCTTCTGCTGCCCTATGTTTGTGCAATCTTTAATTTGTTTCTGTTTTGTTTTAATTATTTCAGGAAGGATTCTTCTTAAAGGAGACAACATAACTCTGATGATGAACACGTAAGTGAATTGAAACTCTGTTTCTCACTCTGCCCGTCTCAGTCTCTGTCTCTGTCTGTATGTCTCTCTGTCTGTCTCTCTCACAATCTCTTTTGCAAATTCCAGGGGAAAATGATGGCCAATCTAGCTAATGCATGAACTAAGGCTACAGTGTGTTTTCATTGTGATGGAGGTTGAGCTCTTTAGATTTACTGCTTTTCTAAAATAAATTTACGTTGGATGTCATTTATGAGTAGTGATATGTATTGACAACCTTAATTGCAAGTGGATATACTTTCACTGGTAGTACTTACACTGTATCTTGTTTTGTCATGCAGAATTCTTTATACTTTGTGTTTCTATTTGATCCCCGTTGTTAGGCTTTCTACAAAAAAAATAATTGTGTGGATTTCTTGGTGGTTTGTGTAATGCTTGTAAGTTTTTGTAGTTCAGTTCAACCATGTCAGATTGCCAGCCATTTTTAATTTGGAAACAAACCGTTTGTTATCCATCCCTGCTTAACCCAAATCAAGGTTGTTAGACAAAGAAAATCAGAGATTCCTTTTGAATGAATCATTTGATTTCGTTCTCAATGTTCTCAATGTTCTTGTTTGCTTCGTGTTTTATGTCTTAGTTTCAAAAACGGGGAATGGTTTTATGCTTTACAGAACTATTTAAGTTTTATTGGTTGTCTTTTCAATCTTTTCTAGTTTATTCTAGTTTAAAGTTTGAGAATAACAGGGTAACAGACTAAACGCAATTCCTCTTGCGTATTGATGTATTTTATTTTAATTTCATTCTCAATTTGTTTTTCCTGAACAAAACAATTCAATATCAGGTTTCGTACTTGTCAGTTGACTGATTTAGGAGACACCGCACTACCATATGCCATGAACTTGAGACCTTTCTTGTATGAAAATTTTGTGAGAAGTTTCAAGTTCGAATCCCGTCTATCCATGAATTTGAGGCCTTTTGTTTAAAATATTG